TAGTATTTTATTTTCGTATGAAGAATAACATAAAGAATAATACAAGGAAAATATTTTATCCTTTGTTTATTATGTAAAGAAGAAACATCAAAAAGATTCTAAGATTTCATGAAGGAGCTTTTTTGTCTTCTCAGTTGTTTCAAATAATAGTCGTCATTATTCATGAAAATTAGTTGCACATGTACACATTGCATAGTTCAGCAGTTCTCAGCTTTTTGGTCTCAGGATCCTTTTTCACTTGTAAAGAAATCATCAAAGACCCCAGAGAGCTTTTGTTTATGTGGATTATATTCATTGACATTTACCATTCTAAAAATTAATATTGAAGAAAATAATATTTAAGATAACAAGTGAATTACATGTTAATATAAATAGAATTTTACACAAAGTAATTATATTTTCTAAGAATTCAGTAAGTAAAGTGACATTGTTTTTATACTTTTACAAATCTCTTTAATGTCTGTCTTAATAAAAGACAACTGGATTTTTGTGTCTTCCTTCTTCTACACTTAACCTGTTATAATGAATTTTGTTTGGTTGAAGATATGAAGAAAATCTGACCTCATAAAGATCTGTAGTTGGAAAAGGGAGGAGTATTTTAATAGTCTTTTCAAATAATTATAGCTATTATTCTTTGATACTAAACTAGAACTCGAGAAGTGGTAGTTTCCTAAAGGTTAGTTTTATTTTTTTAATTTTAATTTGTGTGTGTGTGTATGTGTATGTGTGGCACGGAGCTTTCTCAGGTAGAGCTAAATGTTACTTTCTTTGTAGAATCTGAAACCCTATCAGTATACTTTTTGTATTAATACTTTGTCATAGTGAGATACATTGATATGCCTCACACTTTGAGTTAAACCTTTATCCATACATAATTTTATAACATTATGCAATCACTGTTCATTTGGAGAATATTGGTCTTGTAAGTTATGCAGATTTTCCAAATGTTGACACATTATATGATATAAAAAATCACATCTATTAATAAAACTACTGAGCTCATCACAAAGGCTTTAAGTATTGAGAAGCTGTCAAGCTCATGATGGCTGATAGTTTTTAAAACTCTTAATTTTTATGTGAAAACTCAAATTTTGTCATTGGCAATTAATACTGTCAAACCTGTTCCTTGAAGTAGTAGTCTCACTTCATTCATTTTGGAGAAAATGTTCAGCAATTAGGGATACTCAATCACAGGTTGAGTACCCGTAATCTGGAAATCTAACTTTTTAAGCAGCAATGTCATGTTGAAAGGAAATGCTCATTGGAGCATTTCAGATTTGGATTTTTAGATTTGGAGTGCTCAACTGTTAGGTATGTATGATGCAAATATTCCAAAATCCAAAACAGTTCTAAGTCTGAAACAGCTCTGGTCCCAAGCATTTTGAATAAGGGATGCTTACCCAAATACCAAATCCAAATAACCACAGTTTGTCTGCCCATCATTTGTTTAAGTAGTAATGGTGTTTCATGAAAAAAAGTGGCTAATTCAGCATATAACTCAAACACAAGTGCTTTTTCTTCAAGCCATCCATTATACTTTGGTATGCTCTACAAGTGCTTTATACATACTTCCCATTTGTCACATAGAATGTTAAAAGACATGTGTTAAGAGTCAAAATTTAATTAAAAGTAACAATTTTTCTGATCTAACAGGGACATTCTTAAATGAAACTGCCATTTTTACAGAGTACATGGAACTGGAGATTTTTAACAGTTTGGTGCTACTACCTTAATTTGTGCTGAAGTATCAGCAGATTTGCCCACCATTGCTTTTTTTAATATCAGTATAAAAACACAGTGTGGCCAGCCATGGTGGCTCACACCTGTAATCCCAGCACTTTGGGAGGCTGAGACGGGCAGATCACCTGAGGTCAGGAGTTCAAGACCAGCCTGGCCAACGTGTTAAAACCGCGTCTCTACAAAGATACAAAAATTAGCCAGGTATAGTGGCACGCACCTGTAATCCCAGCTGCTTTGGAGGCTGAAGCGGGAGAATCACTTGAACCTGGGAGGTAGAGGTTGCAGTGAGCCAAGATCGTACCACCATACTCCAGCCTGGGTGACAGAGCGAAATTCCCTCTCAAGAAAATAAATAAATAAATAAAACACAGTGAAAAAGTCTAATGCCATTTAAGTATTATTATGAAATAATTTTGACCTAATGGAACTCCTGAAAGAATCTCAAGAACCCTGTGCCTATAGTACGTACTTTGAGAATCATGTAGTTAGTATGTTCTTTTTGGTTTTTTTGAGACAGAATTTCGCTCTTGTTGCCCAGGTTGGAGTGCAGTGACCCAATCTCAGCTCACTGCAACCTCTGCCTCCTGGGTTCAAGCAATTCTCCTGCCTCAGCCTCCCAAGTAGCTGGAATTACAGGCATGAACCAGCACGCCCAGCTTATTTTTTTATTTAGTAGAAGTGGGGTTTCACCATGTTGGTCAGCCTGGTCTCAAATTCTTGACTTCAGGTAATCCACTGGCCTCAGCCTTCCAAAGTGCTGGGATTACAGGCATGAGCCACTGTGCCCAGCACATGAGCCATTGTGCCCAGCACAGTATGTTCTTAACACTAAATACTGTCTGTAAGAAGAAAAGAAAAAACTTCAAGTGGACTTTGAGTATTCACTCACTGATGGAATATCTACCATGTAGCAAGTGTATTCTCATTTAAGCCATCCTCACAGAAAGCCTGTTAGGAAAGGTCATGTTAATTTTATAGAACAAAAAACTTAGCCTTTTTTTTTTTTTTTTTTTAAAGACAGGTTCTTGCTCTGTCACCTAGGCTAGAATGCAGTGGCATGATCCCAGCTCCCTGCAGCCTTGATCTCCTAGGCTCAGGCAATCCTCCCATCTCAGCCTCCCTAGTAGCTGGACTATGAGTGTGTGCCACCATGCTCAGCTAATTGTTTTTTCTGTTTTTGGAGACAGGGTCTCACTCTGTGACCCTGGCTGGAGTACAGTGGTGTGATCACGGCTCACTGCAGCCTTGACTACCTGGGCTCAAGTGATCCTCCTGCCTCAGCAACCCAAGTAGCAGGGACTACAGGTGTGCACCCCTGTACCCAGCTAATCTTTTGTTTATGTTGTTAGAGACAAGATCTCACTATGTTGCCCAAGCTGGTCTTGAACTCCTGAGGAGCTCAAGCTATCCTCCTGACTTGGCCTTGCAAAGTGCTGGAATTACAGGCATGAGTCACCACGCCCAGCCAGGAAACTTAGTTTTGAGATGTAAAATATTGATTTGAGTGAATAGTAGAAGTGAATTTGAACTCAGGACGCTCTGAGTTTAAAAGTCCATTCTACACTTAGCTGTCTCCTGTTATTAAATAGAAAAAGTTCCTTTAGCAATCAACAAGAATTTGTTAAGTGCCTACCTGTCCATGGATTACTTTTTAACAGGGCAAATTTATTTAATTTTGGTCGTTTTTCTTCATGTCTTGTCAAAAAATGATTTACTGTCCTTATATTTCAATCATTAACAGCTGATAAGAACAATTAAATTCTTGCCTACAACAGCTACTTTTTCCTTGAGATGTGGTCTTAAAAATATAAATACTGTAAAATAATTATGATTTTTGTGAAAAAAAGGTTTTCTTTGGATAATTTAAATGCATAAACTTTTTGTGTTGATGTAGTATAATTATCAAATTATTTAATTGGACACATATACTTAAAATAATGTTAATATTATATAATGTTAATTTACAAATACTGCTTTTGTATCTACCCTCACATTTCATGATATTTATTCAAATTCTATAGGCATTTTTTGTATATAAGCATCATCATCACCACTAGGGTCACTGTTTTTTTCTCTTTGGTTGACACTGTAAAGACTAAATAATTGAATTGAATAAGATAACTATTCTTGTGTTAATTAAGGAACAGGCTAACTCAGAAAGACCCCAAAATACAAGATGACAGTGGGCTTCTCTCATGGAACAGTGTAGGTGAGGAAGGTATTTCTGCTAAAGTCATGTTTTCTAGAGTCCATCCTTCTCACTGGACATTTTATTTCAAGCCACAAGTATTCTTCACAGACTAGTAAAAAGTAATGTTTGTTGAGCCACTATTGTGTGCTAGGCATTTTCTCATTGCTTTACCCGTAAACTCAACCTTATTATCCCTACACTGTGGAGAAAGTAATAATCAAGTACTATCCCTATCTAGGTGTCATTAAGGACAGTTGTAATTTTTTCATTTGCTTATTTTTTTGTTTTGGTTTGGTTTCATTTGTCCTATATATGTATATTCATCATCTTCCCAAGACATTTTTCAAAGAATCTTTTAAAGGCAGGTTTATAAGAACTTTTAATACTTGCAATTGTGAGATTATACCTCTAGGATAAGACAATGTCTTAATCATTGTCTTCTTTATTAACCAGTTTTGACAGGTAAACTCTCTGAGTACCTGAAGCATCGTTGACTCAGGTTATTTAAGGCTAATCTGTTTAAACAGTGTATTGAAAATGAAGTATTGAAAATGAAGCACCCTGTAATAGGAGAACTTTTATAACTACTCAAATATAAGGCAGCTTCCTTTAGGGTAAAACCTAAACTTAGATTTTTATATATTTTTGGTATATGTATCTTAGGGAAATTTTAAATTCTGTATGTCACCTACAATTTTATATTTCTATCCTTACTGCCCTCAGAGTTAGGAAACTGAAGTATTATTCTGCTAATCAGAAAAGTAGCAGACACACATTGAGGCAGTGAGGGATTGGGGGCAAGTATGTATACTTTGCCTTATTTGGGGCTCATTACAATTTCCTGGAGCCTCAATCTATCATCTAATGAAAATTAGCCTTGGCTACCATAACATCTCATGTGTGGAAAAAATTCAAATTTTCAAAGCCTTCCTGGTAATGCAATACCCAAGATACTAGAGTTAACTTTCTAATCTAGCTTCAGCAATAATAGAAAATACCTGAAAGGTAAAATCCTTTTGTGAAACATGGCCATATTTTGTTTACAAATGATGGATTCTACTTTTTGCAGATGTGTCTTGCTGAATCAGGGCTCTCTTATCCCTGCCATCGACTTACAGTGGGAAGAAGATCTTCACCTGCACAGACCCGGAAACAGTCAGAAGAAGTAAGCCTGTTTGCCAGCTTTTCATTGAACAGAAGGCCCACCCCCCACCTACCTGCCCATTTCCCTTTCTTTTTTATCTGCCAGAGCAATTAATAGATAAAGTTAATATAGCATTAATTATATCTTGGTAAATTCTTGAAGGCAGAAACTGTCCATGCAAGGTTATTACTAATGTGCTCCTTCTTTCTCTGTTAGTTTTATGTTTCAACAGACAGAATTCAGGTGGATTGGTTGAAATGATTTTTACTTAGAACTATCAGGCTAACAAAGAACTTTCTAGTCTGGGCACAGTCACTCACGCGTGTAATCCCAGCACTTTGGATGGCTGAGGCAGGCAGAGCACATGAGGCCAGGAGTTCGAGACCAGCCTGGCCAACACAGCGAAACCCCGTCTCTACTAAAAATACAAAAATTAGCCAGGTGTGGTGGCGGACACCTGTAATCCCAGCTACTTGGGAGGCTGAGGCATGAGAATTGCTTGAACCCAGGAGGCAGAGGTTGCAGTGAGCCGAGATGGCGCCACTGCACTCCAGCCTGGGCAAGAGCATGAGAATGCATCTCAAAAAAGAAAAAAGAAAGTTTTTTTGGTGTTGACTGTGTAGTTGAGTAGATTCATGAGGATTGACCCTGAAAGTCCTTTAACTCATTGGGTTGGAGCACTTACTATGAGACAGACGCTGTGCTTGATATTTTTAGAGAACAAAAATGAGTAACACTGTACCTATACCAAAGTGCTCAGAGTCAAGGGTGATAGATAATAAAATAACAGTGGCGGGGTGCAGTGACTCACGCCTGTAATCCCAGCACTTTGAGATGCCAAGGTGAGCGGATCACCTGAAGTCAGGAGTTCAAGACCAGCCTGACCAACATGGAGAAATTCCATCTCTACTAAAAATACAAAATTAGCCAGGCGTGGTGGTGCATGCCTGTAATCCCAGCTACACAGGAAACTGAGGCAGAAGAATCATTTGAACGCAGGAGGTGGAGGTTGAGTGAGCTGAGATTGTGCCATTGCATTCCAGCCTGGGCAATGAGTGAAACTCCATCTCAAAAAATAATAATAAAAATATAATAATAATAGTGATGGCATAATATAAAAAATGCAGTGATAGTGTTGCACACAAGTGTTCTAAAGAAACAAAGAGAATGGGCAGATGAGATTGAACATGTTTGTGTGTGTGTTGTGCCTATTTCGGTCTATGTGAGCCTGAAGAATATATATAGTATATATATATTATATAATATTTATATATATATATTTTTTTTTTTTCCGGAGATGGAGTCTCACTCTGTTGCCCAGGCTGGAGTGCAATGGCGCAATCTCAGCTCACCGCAACCTCCACCTCCCAGGTTCAAGCAATTCTCCTGCCTCAGCCTACCAAGTAGCTGGGACTACAGGTGCCTGCCACCACACTCAGCTAATTTTTGTATTTTTAATAGAGACGGGGTTTCACTATATTGGCCAGGCTAGTCTCGAACTCCTAACCTCATGATCCACCCCCCTCGGCCTCCCAAAGTGCTGGGATTACAGGCATGAGCCACCGCGCCCAGCCCGAGCCTAAAGAATATTATGAGGAAATACCTAAATTCTGTTCCATGGCTACAAACAGCACTTTCATGCTCAACTCTGACCATGGTTATAAGGAAATGGGAAAGAGGGCATGGATGTTTTAACTTACTCATTTAAGAAATATTTATTAAGCTCTTACTATGTGCTAGGAAAAGTCATCACCAAGACTTTAAAAGTGTATACAATGGAGGCCATAACTAACATAGCCGCCGATGAGGCTTTATTAAAACTATCCAAAAAAAGACATAAAAAATAGTAAATTATAATAAAAACTATTAATATAATATTATTTTCTTTTGTTTTTTTTTTTTTTGTTTGAGAGACAGGGTCTCACTCTGTCACCCAGGCTGTAGTGCAGTGGCACAATCTCGGCTCACTACAACCTCTGCCTCCTGGGTTCGAGTGATTCTCGTGCCTCAGCCTCCCGAGTAGCTGGGATTACAGACATGTGCCACCACACCCGGCTCATTTTTTTGTATTTTTAATAGAGACAGAGTTTCACCATGTTGGCGAGGCTGGTCTTGAACTCCTGACCTCAAATGATCCACCCTCCTTAGCCCTCCAAAGTGCTAGGATTACAAGTTTGAGCCACCATGCCTGGCCTTAAACTAGAATTTTTTAAATTGGAGCACAATTCAAGTATTTAAAAGCTTAGGCTAGTACAATAAAAAATTTTTTCCATTTACATTCTATACAAAATGTGGTTGCTCATTTTTATTTAAACTGCCTATATAGTTTGGACACCCATTACGGAAGCGACCACAGGACTTCTTCAGCAATCCTTTGAATATGTATTTATATCACTTAAACATGTGAAAGAGAAATGGAGCTACATAATTGAGGTTGTAGTCTATAATCATCCTGTGAAAATTATACTTTGCCACTCTGGTTTTTAACATTTTTTAGAAAACCACAGAGAAGGAAACTTTTTCCCCTGCTAATAGTATGACTGTGCTATATTATACCGTACTGTACTTGGTCTGCAAAAATGTTTATTACTTTTCAAGAGACCAAACTTTTTTTTTTTTTTAAAAGCACTTTATCTCACTAGCCCTTGTGAAAGAAAGATAATATTGAGTTTCACTGCTTGGCCGAAATTGCTGGACATAATTTAATGAGATATTTCTTTAAAGTGCTTGAGTCTGTTTTTAATGGCTAGAGTAGGTCATACTTCCACTCTTTAATGGATAAATCCACTAACATTAAAAGGTGGCTAACTAGCCCCAACCAGAATTTTTAATTATTCTGTGTCCTATCTGAGAGGTGACAGGTAACTTTCACTTCATTTATTTCCCTTCTCTCACCCTCACCATTATATGTGTTATTTGGGTGGTCCCATCAGCAGAGAGAAGCCAGTTCCATATAGTGAAGAGCAGTGTTTGTAAGGCTAGCACACTATTTAGGTTATTTTGAGAAAATGGTAGTGTGGGATTGGGAGGCTTTGCCAAACTAAAACAGTCACAACCTCGGTAATATCTTATTATTACTGAGTAATAATATCTTGTTATTAGGAGTCCTGCCCTCCTATAATAACCAGTTTCATTTTTGAGCAGCTTTTTCTGTTGTCTTCCTTATATTAATTTGAAATACGTGTAATTGTACTTCTACCCATTGATTCTGCTGCTTTCTTCCGATTCTACTCTTCTCCTACATGACTTTGTGTGTTTTAAGACAATCATCTTTCTTTTTTTTTTTTTTTTTTTGAGACAGTCTTGCTCTGTTGCCCAGGCTAAAGTGCAGTGGCACAATCTTAGCTCACTGCAGCTTCCTCCCCACGGGTTCAAGCAATTATCGTGCCTCAGCCTCCCAAGTAGCTGGGACTACAGACATGTGCCACCATGCCCGGCTAATTTTTGTATTTTGAGTAGAGGCGGGGTTTTGCCATGTTGGCCAAACTGGTTTTGAGCTCCTTACCTCAAGTGATTTGCCCTCCTTGGCCTCTCAAAGTGCTGGGTTTACAGGTGTGAGTCACCGCACCCAGCTAACAATAATCATTTTGCTATTGACTTTCTTAAACTTTGAGTTAGGAAGGAAATATTTGAGACCAGCAGTTACATTCAAGTTTTAGATTTTATGGATTGTAGTTGTATGTCCTTTAGCTGGAATAATTTTGATTCTTACATCATATCTCTGGCCCTACAGACACAGTTTCTTTATGATCATTTAATTTTTTTTTTCTCATCCTACCCTTGTTCCTGAGCCCCCGTTTAATGATTTTCCCATATTTCTGGATACCTAACTAGGTAACAATTTATCCTCAGTTGCTTGGGTGAAACAGTGTGGGGGCCTTGTTGACCCTGCCTCCTTGGGAATTGTTCAGTTCTCAGTTGACAATGGAGAAGGAGAGGCAGTCCAAAAACTTAACAACAAAAAAAGTTGTAATGTAATGTTAAAAGCATTAGTTTATAACTATGGTTAAAGAAACATTTATTGAATGCTCACTATGTACTAGTCAGATGAATATAAATTGATAATTTTGTATTATATGATTAATGAGAAAATTGAGGCAAGCATGAGATGCTAGAGAAGTATAGATAATGGGGGTGAGTTGTAACTTTCAAGAATGTTTGCAGGCAAGAACCTTGTTTGCCTTTCTCCCCTCTGTAGCTCTAACACCTAGCCTAGTGCCTGGCATGTAACAGACACAGAGTAGTTATTTGTAAATGGATTTATTTTTAAATAAAGAAAATAAAAGAAAAAAAGACTAGAGGAGGTGATATCCAAATTGGATTATAAAGAATGAGTCACAGCCAAATAAAGAATCAAAGGAATCATATTCCATTCATTCCATTCAGAGAAAAAGGCACGATTTGACGTAGCAAATGAGAAGATATGTGTAGGTAGGGTTACTGTTAGTGCAGAAGAAAGTGGGGGGGAAGGAAGATAAGAGATGAGGTGAAAGTGAGTAAGTCTTATATGACACATTGAGAACTTGAACTGTAGAAAGCAGTAAAAGACTTTTTTTTTTTTTTTTTTTTCCGGAGATGGAGTCTCACTCTGTTGCCCAGGCTGGAGTGCAGTGGTGCAATCTCAGCTCACTGCAACCTCCGCCTCCTGGGTTCGAATGATTCTCCTGCCTCAGCCTCCCAAGTAGCTGGAACTACAGGAGTACACTATCACACCCGGCTAATTTTTGTAATTTCAGTACAGACTGAAATTGTCCATATTGGTCAGGCTGGTCTCGAACTCCTGACCTCAGGTGATCCACCCGCCTCGGCCTCCCAAAGTGCTGGGATTACAGGCATGAGCCACCGCACCCCGCCAAGATTGACCCCTTTCACCACTTCTATTTGACATAGTACTGGAAGTTCTGGCCAGGGCAATTAGGCAAGAAAAATAAAAAGAAATAAAAGGAAGAATTAAAATAATCTCTGTTCACAGATGATATGATTTTATATGTAGACGACTCCAAAGATTACATTTTTAAAAA